TTATTGTCCCCCCCTACTGTTAAATGAAATTTACGCCCATGCAGGGAAGACGTACTGCCTGAAGTGGAGGAGTTTAAGTATCTCGGGGTCTTGTTCACGAGTGAGGGTAGGCGAGATCGGGAGCTGGATAGACGAATCGGAGCGGCGTCTACAGTTTTGCAGGCGCTTAACAGGTCCGTCGTGGCTAAGAAAGAACTGAGCCGAAAAGCAAAGCTCTCGATCTATTGGTCCATCTTCGTTCCTACCCTCACCTATGGTCATGAGCTATGGGTAATGACCGAAAGAACGAGATCGCGAATACAAGCGGCCGAAATGAGGTTTCTCCGCAGGGTGTCTGGGCTTTCCCTTAGGGATAGGGTGAGAAGTTCGGATATCCGGGAGGGCCTCAGAATAGAACCGCTGCTTCTTCACGTCGAAAGGAACCAGTTGAGGTGGTTTGGACATCTGGTGCGGATGCCTCCTGGGCGGCTACCCGGAGAGGTTTTCCGTGCATGTCCTACAGGGAGGAGGCCCCAGGGCAGACCCAGGACTCGCTGGAGGGATTATATCTCTCGGCTGGCCTGGGAACGCCTCAGTGTCCCCCCTGAGGAGCTGGTAGAGGTAGCTGGGGAGAGGGAGGTCTGGGTATCTCTCCTGAAGCTGCTACTCCCGTGACCCGAACCCCGGACAAGCGGTAGATGATGGATGGATGGATGGATGGATGGAAAAAACTACCAAAGACCCATGTAATGATGTAGCTTTTAACAATGATACTAAACCTTCCCTGCAATAATCTAAATTATAGGTCAGACAATAAATTTCACTTTAACGTTAACTGTAAACTAGTCTGTTTACATCAAGAGCTTCCCAGCATATCAAAGTACATGAAGGCAGAGCAGAAGGCTAAACAGCAGTGTGATGCCGTCCCCATTGTATGAATTATATTAATACCATGAGGGTTTGTTTCCTCTCACTGTCCACAGTGTCCTGATGGAGAGAGCAGACTCCCCTGTACCCAGCTGTGTTTCCCTGAAGAGTGACTGGTCAATGGAGCCCCCAATGCACGCAAGCTTACCTTCCTATCCAGCTGGTAAAGAGTGAACACACCCCCCCTCCCCCCTGCATGATAAGTCACTGCTTTGCATATCAATGGAGATATATTATTACCCAGATAAATGACTTTAAACATTTCCTTTGGCTGCCTCAGGCTTATGCACAGTCCTGTATGTGGTAACTCAGTACAATATGTATGATAAAACTTAGAGTTTCACATTTGTCACAGTGAAATATCTGGACTTGTATGTGTGAAAAAAAGTGTGTTTTTGGAAAATATTCTTCCTCTCATACAGGTCGGGATCACGGTGAGAATTTGTGCATTTTTCTCTCATTTCTTTTCAGGACAGCTCATGCTGCATTATCAGCGAGAAATCAAAAGTAAACTTAAGAAGCAATGTGAGTGTGTATTTGAAGGGAATCCTAAGGGAGGACAGCCAACACTTCTCAGTGAGATTTACACAGAACTCTACATAACTGAAGGTGGAACTGGAGGAGTCAATGATGAACATGAAGTGCGACAGATTGAAACAGCATCCAAGAAAATGCGAACAGAAGATACTACAGTCAAGTGTAATGATATATTTAAACCCTTATATGGGCGTAAAACACCTATCAGAACTGTACTCACTAAAGGGGTGGCAGGTATCGGGAAAACAGTCTCGGTGCAGAAATTTATTCTCGACTGGGCAGAAGGGAAAGAAAACCAGGACATTCACTTCATATTTGCTCTTCCTTTCCGGGTCCTGAATTTGATTAAGGATGAATACAGTCTGATTGAACTGCTTCACCGCTTTGTCCCAGATCTGAAATCACTTCAATACACTGAGCTGTTTAGGTACAAAGTCTTGTTCATCTTTGATGGTCTGGATGAGTGTCGACTTCCTCTAGATTTTC